AAAAAAAATTTCTATAAAAAAATACAGACTCACTCTGCAAAAAATGAAAATACTATTTTTTTTATAAAAAAAAACTTTTGCGTGGGAGAGAACTCTTTGTGTCGTTGTTATTTCTTCCCCCCCCCCCCCCCCCCCCCACACACACACACACACATAGATAGCAAAAGTCCCCAAGTGTGTTATTCTGTTCTAAGTGTTATCTAATGAGTAGTAATAAAAATAACAATAATGATGATAATAATTACAGTAATAATGATAATAACAACAACAACAACAATAATAATAATAATAATAATAATAATAATAATAATAATAATAACAGTAGTCATTATTATGATGATTATTATATTAATAAAAGTGCATGTACTATTATCATCATCATCATCATCATCGTTGTTGCATTTAATTAAATGTAAATACTCTTTTTGTTTTACCAAACGTTGCGGTCATTCAACACTGCACATGCAGTATGCCAAAATACGAAGCTTTCAGGAGAAGCTAAAAACACGTTTGATCGGTATAAATCCGTCACTAATTTAAAGAAGAGGGATGAGACTAGTCTAGGACCAGTCGGTGCGCCTCATTCAAGGACGTACTTGTTTTGGGGTTGTTGTTGTTGTTTTGTTTTTGTTTTGTTTTTTTTTTGGGGGGGGGGGTTTTACGTACCGATACTACAGTATTGAAAGGCGGCGACGAACAATTACGTATGTGAAACAACCCCCCCCCCCAAAAAAAAATAAAATAATGAAATAAATTACCCACAGTCGTGCCCTATGTCTCTTCCTTCTTCTTTTGTGCGCCTTTAGCTCAGTTGGTTTTGTGCTGGACTACGGAGCGGATGTCCCTGGTTCTAATCCCCGAATGGGTGTTCTTGAACTTGGGTTTTATTCTGTGGAGTTTTCAAGACTCAACCCTTTTGGCTGGGTTCTATCAGAGACTAACGTCAAATTTGGAAGTCCCGCCTCTTTCAATGCTCTAATATTGGTAGGGGGGGGGGGGTGATAGGGGTGTTGAACCCACTCTTTTTTTTTTAAATCTGCTTCTTTCTTCTTCCTATCCTGTAGACCTTAGTGCATGGTTGGCGAGTGATCTGGTGTGGTTTGCTCCTTCTTTCCTATCAAACATCTGTCGCCCTTATCTCTCTTCCTTTCTTTTGTGTATCACTCTCTTGTAACACCTCTAATCTTCCACACCTTATTGTGTTGCAAGTGCCGTAATACTCTTGCACAAAAACTAAACTAAGACCCCACCACTTTGACAACAAGGTCCGCCGACCCGTCCGCGAAATGACTCACTGTAGTATGTACTTTATGTGTATTAATTTGAGTCCAGTGAGGAGGTAAGAGCGTCTGTCATTATCACCATTGCCTTCCTCACCCTGGATCCTAGGGCAAAGGCCACGAATATACACTTTCCACTTTTCCCTTCTTGGGCTAGCCTCTTGATGTTATTCCATGTCTTTGCACTTTTCTGTGAGAGCGTCAGCGGGCGGTTATAGGGCGCCCCTGGTAGGTCCTTCTTCTAAACCTCCCCTCTGTTGTTTCTGCCTGTCTGTCTCTCTTACTTTGACCCAGCACCAAATGACCATAATTGTGTCGGTGTGCTTCTCTTTACTCCTCTTTACTCAAACAAAGTGTAAGAGTATAATATGTGCACTACTGTATATTTTTCCTTCTTCTTTCTTCCGTCTCCCTTCTTTCTTCTTACTTATTTGTTGTTTCAACCCCCCGGGACAACCGTTTTGCTTTCAAATGACGTAATCGTGTAAAGTATTGCGGACGGCGTGTGTTTGTGGGGGGGGGGGGGGGGGGGTCCAGTCCCAAACGCTCACAAGTAAGAGGTTGGCTGGGAGGTCCCATAAACCCACAGGTAAGGGGTTTTTGCTTTGTTTTTGTCTTTTTGGTTTTTTTAATATTTTTTTTTTTTCTATTATTTTTTAAAATTATTGTTTGTTTTGGTTTGGGTTTTTTGTTGTTGTTGTTTTTTTGGTTTGGGTTTTTTGTTGTTGTTTTTTTGGTCGGGTTTTGTTGTGGGGTTGTTGTTTGTTGTGTTTTTTTTTTGGGGGGGGGCGGGTCC